CATCTTTGCTATTTGGCATCGCGGAAGTTCTGTGCAACTACACTGTGTGCCTTGCACGATTTGGTGCGACACACCATGGGCACCATCATCATGACAACGGATGCAAACGGTGTGCTGTAAGGCGGCAGCAGCCTGCTGAGCAGCTTTGCACTTCGCGTCCAGAACCGGAGCGGGCACTATCGTTGCAGACCGATCAATTATGAGGACCCAGCGTCTGATAGATGTGTTTTTGCTGATATTCGGGATTTCAATCGCGCCCAGCGCGAACACAGCTTTGTTCAGCTGGATCAACGGCACGTTCATCGACGAGCCGCTTGCGACCATCGAGGTTGCCTCTATGGTCCTCTGTTCGCTCATTTGTGAGAGAACGGGTTCGGCTCTCTGTGCTGGAATCAGGTACCACGACAACGGCACGTGTCAGCTGTTCCGTGATCATATGTACTGCAAGAGCCGACCACTGCAGCGAGTCAACCTTGAAGAGCCCGGAAACAGCTGGGTCCTGTCTTCATGCCCCGGTAAGCCATTCTATGCTTGCTGGCTCTGTGATGTGAGTGAATTTAATGTGAGTGCCATAATAATGATAATAAAGCAATAGATATAAAATGATAATAATAATAATAATAATGATAGTAATAGTAACAATAATGTGAGTACACGAAGGACCCTCACGCCGGCGACGTGCGCTGTATCTCTGCCGACGGACCAGCCAATAAACAGCTGCGTCTCTCATATTGTGCGGCAATTCGTGGACTAGCTATGCCACTTTCTTCCGTCAGAAGACCCTGTCTGAACTGCTTCAACCTTAGGCAGCTTTGATTAGCCGCTGTCCATGGTTTTCAATATGAATTTATTCGAAATAATGTAAGTTGCTCAGTGCATTAACAAGAAACATTATTCACATACTTAAGACATTAGTGTAAGCCTTATTCCTTGGAGAAAAAAACAGGGGAATGAAGATATAGTTGAGTTAACATTTCGGCAATAAGGCTAATACCACCGTCTTATCTATGTGAGTTTAGTCACAACAAAATGGATTTGGGACCCTTTCTATGCAACCTAAAATAGGATACATATCGTGACAAATAATGCATAGCGCTAGTCAAAATTCGCCCGTGCCTGTTGCTGGTTTCAAAATAACGTTCGTTCTCTCGCATCATGTCGCGTTCACAAATTCTGAAAAGGCCATGCCGTGCCACAAAGTGAAAAATGAAAAAGTTAAAAATGTGAGGAGTGGTGATGATTTATTTATTCATTCAGTATGCGCTCCTCCATAACATAAGTTAGTGTACGGGTGGTTACACAACTGGCAGGAAGGCTTGAATTTGACTGATTCAAAAGCAGGATGTATGAACGCTACATTCATGGACCGAAGACATTCTAAAAGGTTTGGCTCGTGCAGTTAATTAGGTTAACCGCGCACACAGCCAAGCCCAGGCCAACACCCACACATACACATGTGTGCATGTTTGTGTGCACAGATGCATATATGCACATGCAAATATATATATATATATATATATATATATATATAACGAAAAAATTAAGTACTCTGAGGTTTTCGTGTCACAGGAGTAAACAATGAGAGTTTCAACTGAGCTACAGTTGCATATGATTGATATATTGTCCTAGTGCCCTACTGAGCCGAACAACCTTGGATTGCTAGGGAAGGAGTTGAAACACGTCGAAATGAAGGACATCAGACATCAAATCATAGAGTTATTTACTGGCTCAATGCAAACTCAACTGATTTTAAATGCGAGGAGCGGATTTAAAGAAAGATTTAACAGATTTGAGATTTTCTTTAGCCTTTGTTTCCTGTAGCACCATGCATATGGCATGCGTAATGTTTAAACCACGCAAAATGCTCATGCTGTGTAGTCCGTCAAAACTCCCAACGTTACTACCTGTCACCTTTGCCATGCTGATGCTGTGTAGTCCGTCAGAACTCCGAACGTCACCACCTGTCACCGTTGCCTTGCTGATGCTGCGTAATCCGTCAGAACTCCCCACGTTACCATCGGTCACCGCTGCCATGCTGATACTGTGTAATCCGTCAGAACTCCCCACTTGACCATCGGTCACCGTTGCCATGCTGATGCTGTGTAATCCGTCAGAACTCCCCACGTTACCACCGGTCACCGTTGCCATGCTGATGCTGTGTAATCAGTCAGAACTCAACACGTTACCACCAGTCACCGTTGTCATGCTCATGCTGTGTAACACATCAGAACTCCCCACGTTACCACCGGTCCCCGTTGTCATGTTCGTGCTGTCTAACCCATCAGAACTCCCCACGTCATCACCAGTCAACGTTGCCAGGATCGATCTGAGCGCATCGCACCTAGATTAGAAGCGCCAGGTAGCATTAGGAATAAGTTTGTGAACTAAAATTGAACGATGGAAGTGGTGTGCACCGGCTGACACGATGGTCGGAGATGCTGTTCAGTCCAAAAAGCTTGTAAATCACAGAGAACAGACGGACAGCGAGCGAGTTTGCCGTCGGCGGTTCGTGCCAGGTCAGATCGCGTGTCATGGTTAAGCAGTCATGAGCGGCGGACAAGTCGTTAAAACTGTCTGGTAAGTCGCCAGGCTCGGACTCTGCCGTTTAAAATAGATCAGGCAAGTTGGTTAGGCGCGATGTCACCAGATTAACTGGGGCTGTTAAGTCCTACCGTACGTTTGAGTAACTACAATACCGACTTATTTTCGGAATTCTTTGACGTACTGGTTGACGTAGACAGGAAGTAATCATAAAGCAAGGTAAGGAATTGGGCATGGCACCACCACAATAACACCATCTGTTTGATCTCGCCGATGCGTTTGAACAAACACAAAACCATTTCTTAAGCAACTTTCGTACTCACAGTGCTGTGAGATAGAGAGCAGCAATATTTTCTTGAATTATGTCATTTTCATTCACTAACGCCTTATCACGTCTTTTAATGGATTCCAAAGGGAGCGCTCTTACGTTTAAAATGTCTTTCAAGTGATTTGCATGGAACATTCAGGCCAGAGTACACACTAAACGTACCTTATTTAGGGGTTCTAAAACTACCACCAAAGCAGCACTAGTTTAGTTCAAAGAACATTTTGGCGCCGGGCGTTTTGCCACACCAGGCCGGTGAGGGTTATTTTATTTTACACATTTTTTCTACAGAAATTGTCTCTCTCCTCTCTCGGTATGTGTCGGTCTCTTTCGGGATCACCCAGCTATCTCAGGATCTTGATCTCTCTCATTCCACTCGCGAGATTCATTTGCCTGAGGGCACGTTGCGTATATCATTGCATGAATCTCTGGATATCGCATCCAATGACAGCGTAGCATCATCGTCACTTTCACACAAAAACAAAGGGCTCTTTGTCCCTGGTTCATCGTTACAGGTCACAGCAAAGCAACAAGCTAATACCCCGTGTGCGCTAATCCTTATCACACTCATCCCGTTGCATGTATAAACTTTTAATGCGTTCCAGGGAGCATAACAGAGCTGTACGATGAAGCTGCTCATTTCTGAATTTTCTTCGGTGCGCATATCGCCTAACTAGTGCAATAACCAAACCACCGAATGATACAAAGTACGCACACACTAAAGAGCGTCCCAGCTCATCTCACTCCTTATTAGGCCGCGAACATTCCAATCCACACTCACGGGTGGGAGGTCGCTGGCTCAAGCCTGACCTCGGATGCACTCACGTGCAGTCGCCTGCCAGCCAGCCCGCTGGATCCAGTACCGCCGACGCACCAGATCCTGTGCCGTTCCAGGCTCCTCCTCCGACCGGTGCAGCTGCCCGGCCGGGTTCACGCGGTGCGCCGGCCGCTGCCTCATCCGACTGGACGCTGCACTCACCAACACGGAGGCGCAGAGCCGCTGCCAGCAGCGCGGCGCCCACCTGGCCGTCCCGCGCACCGAGGCCGAGAACCAGTGTGTCATCGAGGTCGCCTCGAGGAGGCTGGTGTGGCTGGGGGTGACCGACCTGGGCTCGGAGGGCGTGTTTTGGGGCGTTGATGGCTGCGGCACGGTCCCCTGGTGGGGGTCCAGCTTTCCTGACAACTTTTGGGGTGTGGAGCATTGTGTAGCACATATGCTGAGTAATTGGAACGACGTCGATTGTAGAAGGCTGTACCATCCCCTATGCCAGCTGGACTATTGCAAGGAGACCATGTGCCAACAGGAAACGGACAGGAACTGGTCCTACTCTTGGGCGCGTAAGGCGTGTGGTCTGCCCGGCTCACGTGATGGCCCACTCACGGGACGTTTCAGCTGTTTTTCGACGTCTATTGTAAACTCTTGTTGGAGCAGTGGGTAAGAGGCCTTTCTAGACGTGCAATGAGTGAGTTGGTGCCAGGCTGCAGGATAGTTGTGTCATCGCCGCGTAGAAAGCATCGAGACGTAAGCGAATAGCGCCTGTCGGGCTGGGAACACATACAACCAGTTCTTCACAATGCCACGGAAGACCTCCTTTCAGCTGGCTTAGTAGACCGTGGCGTTCTGATGTTTAGCGTTGGTTCATACATTCATCAACACCATTACCTGAGCATTACCTGGCTTTGTGGCTAGCTTGGCCTTGCCATTTTGACGGACGAAATCGATGAAGTAACGACCAGCAGAAACGAAACAATGACCAGCAGTTCGTGCGCCGGAATGTCTGGGTCTGGTAAACAATGTCAGACAATCTGGTGAAAATGTCTCCAAGCTGCACACCAGCCAGGCAGTCTTTGCGCATCCCAGGGGCATTCTGCTCAGCGGCCATGTACGAAATCGGCGCAGCTGAATGGTGCACGTTTTAGGCGATTGTGATGAGGATGTTGAGTGATTGAAATACGATGCATGAATGTTGTGGAAATAAATTGGATTGAGTGACGAAGCAGTTTGCATGATTAAGATACTATGGTTTAGGCCATAGCATATTTCATTCCAGCGTGCAAGGCAACAAAGATAACTGAATATGTCCGTAATGGTACCATTACGGACGAAAAAAATGGAGTTGTAGTGTGAAGCAAGCAAATTCGACGCTGATATGCACGTATGCAGCTGAATATGAACGTGCAAAAACGCGATGTGCAAAAAGTTGTTCCGCTTTGGCATCACGAGAAAAGTTGTTAATCGAACCGATAATTATGTTTTACACTTCAGTGGTCAACGGATGGAACTCTAAATAAGCAGCCCATGTATACATCTTATTGGTGGAGGTCACTTAAGTCACCTTTTTGAGATGTGCAGAACATTGTGCATGATAAATATCCTTGAGGACAGTAACACTAAGCATGCGTCTTCGCCAATACGAAACTGCGCGTGCCAACTGCGCGTGCCCACTGCTATGCTTGGTTGGGTACTGGCGCGAACAACTAAATACGGATGCAAAAGTTTGTGTTACACGAGATGGTGATTTTTCTTACGTGGTTTTGCCGTTAATAAAAGCGACCTCGTGTTCTGATGAATCTTGACGTTGCAATACAGGATAACCTCACGTGCAGCCGGCACAGTAGGGGGAGAGGGGGAGGGGGAAGACAGTAGAGTGAGTAGCATCATGTCCAAGTAGTATCAAGGCGATTTATCCCAACTCTATGCGACGGTTGGTAGTCTCAAGTCACTCATCTGACGGAAGGCAGAGCTCTGCCTTTCAGTGTACTTCTGGGCTCATAGTGTACGCATGTTAGGGTGAGCGCAAAAAATCTGTATTTTGGCACGGCATTGGAGACTATAGCGATCGGTGTGAGTGATAGTTCATAGGGTCACGGGATGGCTGCACGAATCGAATGGTCTGCCGAATGGTGGGGACGTACAGCACGTGCGTGCCGCAAAACATTTGGCATCTGTTCGCTAAGGATTTCGGGGTGGTACAAACATGCCTCCAAGATGTCTGGCGGTACATGCTATGTCACCTGTGCATAGGGCATGTTGTATTAGTAATACAATGAACCGACAGCATGCCATTCGCAATCTAGATAACAAGTCTACATTAAAAATACCTATGCAAATCCATGATGTTCACCCGAGCAGCCGAAATCGAGGTGGCAATAGTCGTAAAACAAAAACTGACTGTTAAAAGCGCAAACATTTGTCATGTACCAATCACGGTGAATTACAAATTAGCATTGACGAGCGCATTTGGGCTACATATTGCATGGAATTCAGCCTGCTTGAGATGCAGTTTATTTTATGAAAAAAACACGTAAGCACAACTTTCACGCTATGTGATATAATTTTCCCCGGGGTGGGGTAGGTTGCCCCATTGGAAAGAGGTTCATTGAGAAGTCATTTGCCAAAGATGCAAACGTGCTCTCAAAACTTTACCGTTGTATGTGAATCTGGAGCTTGCAGCTGTCTGCAGATATACGAATCGAAGCCCTATCCTCAGTAGTTCCAGAAGGAGGGAGCTCAGATTAAACACTGATGTAAGTCTCCCCACTCTCCCCTATATCCAATATCGCGGGGCTGCTGGATGTGTGGAGCCCGTATTTCACATGCATCACTGAACTCTGGGACACATTCTTCAATTCAAATTTTACCATTGCTCTTACTGTATCATGATGCTTAAAGCATGCATCACCACATTTGCTTATTTTCTTGTTAAATTGAGTGCTCCACCTTTAGGGTAATTTCAGAAACATAACTAGATGAAACCTCAGGGCTACCTAGTCAGCACTGCTAGGATCACTTAGTAGCACTGGGAATTGTCACTGTGGTATCATCAAGATATGATGAGATAAATTTGAAATATTTTAGGTTCAAATTACGCTGTGAACGGTTCCTCCCAGCAGTGGTTCATACCTAACATTCCATTTATGTCTTCCTTTGAAGCTCCAGCGCGTAACCCTAGTCTACGACAACTGACGACGGCAGAATCCAGGATCATAGTTTCTCAAAATGAGTTGGTAGGGGCTAAAAAGTAAAAGCAGCAATAAATAGCACAGCCTGCTCCCAAAATACGGCAACAAATGGACTACTGCCCGGATTTCGCCCATTTTTTTTTTCAAAGTCAGGAGTGGTTAGGAGCCCAAGTTGGGGGAGGGGGCTCCCAAATAAATAGGAAACTACACCCTGGTAGAATCTGCTGGGGGCTGTCGTCAGCAGTTAAGGACTAGAGGTGCCAGATTTGAACCGTTTTAATGCGCACATTGCGTGCCTGCGAGCTTAAAAGTGGCACCTGTACTGGTATGAATGACATCAGTAGAAATGAACGTTTGCGAGTGGCACAGTGGACACCGAAGGCCATTTATCCAGAACCGATTTGGTCGAAGATTGGGCGATGTGTTGCGTGCGTCACTGTAGCCGATGTGATGCGTCTGCTTTCCAAAGCCGACAAGCGCCTCAAAAAGAGCCTATGCGATGAATTCACGTGATAACTAGCTCATGTTTAAAGCTGTATATTTTTCCCTGCACAAAGTGTTCGAAGCTTCGGTGGCAGTTATTGCGCAAGCCTATTGACGAATAAGTGTATTAGAAATAACATGAATTGGAAAGAACAAAGGAAATGAAAAGTATGTGCTACTGTCAAAGCGATGAGCAGGGAGATCAGTTATATTTCTCCCGCCGGAACGGTTACGTCTAATCAATATTCTGAGCTATTCAGAAGGATTTCGAGAAGCTTTCCATCACCAATCAAATCGGACGCGTTTAATCTGACGATGAGTAGAAGGTACAAAACGGCGGCATATTTGCTATAACGACTCAAAACACTCCATGCATTCTAGGGAGCTGAACATATGTTTTACTATCAGGAAGCATACCGTGCCAAAGTTCCACACATTTTATTGGCCTCACGGCTTTTTACTACAACCAAAAACATGTCAACATTCGCTTCACGCGATCTCGTTTGAGTCAATACGCTTTTGAAATCATGCGCACGCTTCTGCTTTCGAGGTTTTAGACCACTCATTGTAAACTCAACGACCTACACAATACAATTTTCCTCCGGTTTTGTCGTACGTAAGTTAACGATGGCTCGTCATTTTAGTCGTGTTGTAGTGCCTAACTTCGGTGATGTTTAGGAGCCAACTTTGCTCTGGAATTTGTCGTCGCTTGAAAAATAGAGTTTTGCTGCCCTTTAAGGTACCCTCTGGAATCGGGTGCCTCTTGAAACTCAAGATCACCATACCCCAAAAGGAAAGCTTTTGGTGCCCTGCACCGAGGGAGCTAAAAATTGTGTTGCCTCTATATTTGGTGCCACCTGGAATCAAGCCTCCGCGGCCCTTTGAATGCCCCGCTTCAATTTGATGCCTTTAGAGAACAAATATTATAGTACCTTGAATTCAATGTTTTGGTGCTTTTTCGCCGAATGGACGTCCGAAGATTTAGTCAATGGAAAGACACGGACATAATGGTGTCTCTGGGAATTTGTTGCGTCTTGAAAATGAAGTCCTTGACGTGCGTTTTGGTGCTGCCTGGAATAAGGCAACCGTGGATAAAAAACAACTGAGGATGCCCCGAAACGGAGGATTTAGGGTCCCTCCAACAACAGGACAAATCAGCATTTTGTCAGGCTGAACGGTAGAGCAATTACGGTGCCCCTGGATTTCTGTCTTCTTAAAAATGAGGACTTTGTGCTTCTCAAATGGTTCTCTTTAATTTGGTGCCCCATAAAGTAAACGTTGTGGTACCCAGAAGTATTTAATTCAGAAATCAAAAGGTAGAAAGCTTCGGTGCCGATTTTCCAAGTAGCCGATGCGGGAATTCGTCTCGCTGGGAAGCGGAACATTATTGCGCCACTGAAATCTGGTGCCTCTTGATAATAAAAGTTTGGGACCTTGGTGGTGTCATCTGGAAGGGAGTACACTCGAAAAAATGCGACAGTGCCCCGAAATGAAGGTTTTGTGCCTGGTCAACCTGTGATCTTAGTGTTAAAACTCCTCCACCTCAAGGCAGCAAGACCTCGTTGGGCTTTGATGGGGCAAGGCATGCCCCATGCCCCCTGTCATGCAGATAACTATATCACCGTCTTTGTGTAAGGTATTTAATGATGCAATATAAACATTAATACGGGGAG